CAAGGTTCAGCCCCTTGGGATGGGAAATGGGACAACACTATCCATATGGCATGTGAAACCTGGGAAAAAAAGGACTATATTCAGTTTCTTTAAATCAGAATTGCACCAAATTTATTCAACACCTGTCTGCCTTACATGGCTTGATTACATAAAGGATGATTAAAAACTTAGTAAAGTGGAACACTAGTGAGAAATAGTTCAGAAAACCGAGTTCAAAAATTCTGTATTAAAATTGTACAAAGCAAAAGCTTAGAGAAAAATACCCATTTAGATATATGAGTTGTATTTTACATTGACTAGTTTTAAAGAAAAATATGATTTTTACCTCATGGCAATTCCATTTTATAGTTCAACTATGGCATAAAGCTATTGTGAGGTAACTTGGCATTCAGGAAGAGCATAACATGACATAACTTTGCATAGTTTTCATTTTTTACTATGTCTGAAAAGAAAAGCACTGAGGTATCAGGATAAGCCCTGAACCTGCTGTCCTTTGCAATACATAACAGGAACCAGCAGGACATTGAGGAGCCTTTAGAGAGTTCAGCACAGTCCTCTCACCATGCCCTGTGCTAGTCAAACAGCTTTCCCAGCACTCCGACATCTCCTGCAGTTGGATTTAGAGTTGTTCACTTGGGTAAAGTTCCAAATTGGCAGTCAGTCTTTGTGCTGTAGAGCTTCGTTAAGTAGATCTGTGATAAGTCTATGCAAATTAATATCAGCTTAATTAAGCATATTATAGAAACAGAAAAGCAGGGAAGCTATTCCATTTTTACATCAGTTTATTCAGTTGTGTTGCTAGCAAGACAAACTGAAATTAAATTGAAATTCTGAGTTACAAGACAGGAATGTCCTTAGCATGGCGTTCTTTGGTGTACTTCTAAGGACTTCTTGAAAAAATTAAAATTAGCTGATGAATTTTGAAATATCAGGAGATATATGGGTTTTCAGTTGACATTAACTAATAGTAGTGATTGCGTGGTAAAATGTGATCCTCCTTTCATGTAAGAAATTAATAAAAACCCAATGAAAATGCCCATCCAAGTGTAGGAGCCAATGTTCAGATGGCAGGAAGTAGGCTTACCTAAAATGACAAAATTCCAAAGACCTTTTTGAGTCAAGTCAACATTTTTCAGGCTTCCAAAAGAAGTTGATAAGAAAGATACAAACAGCAAATTTTTTAAAATAGGCTTTAAATTAGAGTAAGTTTGAGAAGTAGACAGAAGGTAAGGTTATGCCAAATCACAAAAATTATATAAGTCCTGAGGGGTATAAAGTGATTAAGGCACATTGGGATACTGCAATAAAGCAAAGTTATGCTTTTTATAAAACACAGAGCTCATTGCAGTGCTTAAAAAATATTCAGTGTGCCTTGTGAAAATTGAAACTGTGTTACTGATGTATTAGTGATGAACATATCCAAAAACTGATAATAAATAAGAACTAGATGGTACAACTGGCATGGATCATCTGAATTAAAATAATTTTCAGTCCAGGACTTTCCTCCTGAGTACGTTGTTATGGTAAGAGTTTGTGTTTTCAGTATTGCAGTATTTTATGACTCTTGCAAAAACACTCAATCTTTGGTTACTCAGTGAAGTAAAATCCAAAACAAGATTAAGTTGCAGAACTCTGGAAGACAATTATTTAGATTATTCCAAACTGAAAAATAGCACCTGGAGTCATATGAAAATTAAGCTGTAAATAGAATTATAGTGAAAAATTTTGACAACTGTAAAAGCAAAATAAATCACATCAGAAGAAGTGACTTGAAGTATTGCTGACATGTAAGTTATGTATAACTACTCTAGAGGTATCTCACTACCTAACTAATTCTATGATTCTGTATCAAATATCAAAATTGTACCACCACTGAGCAGGGAATTGGACCTGATTGACATGATGATGCTGTGATTTAAATTTCCAACATGAGAAAAATATGCAAACACTAGTATGGATTATTACCTTTTATGGCTTGTCTGTTACTTAACAAAATACATCTGTGAAGTAGAAAAAATTCAAACATTTTACAAATTAGAGAAAATTTAGCTAACAACTGAAGCGTGGATTAAAAATTTATTCTGTATTTTTAACTTGGTTTCATTATCTTAAGTTGAAAATTCATATGAATCAGTGTTGTGACTTATTGTTTTCTAATATATCTGCTTGTCTGTTAATCTGAGTTTTGGTTGGCTCCTAAATCATTGATTTTGATTGCAGTTTATTTCTGAATAGAATAAAACAATATCCTGCTGCCCAAGAAAGGATAACAGTTTTTTAAAGTATGCCTGTTGAAAATAGGACAAGCTCATTGCCTATTATGAATCTTTTCACAAATACTGAAAAAAAAAGTGCTCAGTGCTCAGTAGGGTAAGAATGCTGTCTCTTGCCTCTATGGCTGTTGCAGGGCTGTTTACTCCTTCAGGGTTACTCAAGAGTTGCTCTACACTGGTTTTGTTCAGTGCAAAAGCAAACAGTTGCTGTCAGTTTTCCTTTCACTGCATCTGCTATCTCATACTTTTAAAAGTGGATGAAGACTGGTAGGGAGTTTTTCCTTCATTCAGATACGATGATACAGCTAATACAGCCTAGAGAGTTGCCATAAGGTTTTCTGGAATTGTACACGTAGCTACACATATACATCAGCAGATGATGATTGTATGTAGGCAATTAACATGCCACAGCATAACTGAAATAGCCATGACCAAATTTATGATTTGATTATAATTTTTTTAAAGACAACACTCGACCTAGTAGTTAATTTTAAACAATCAAATTGTTTTTCCTTAACAAAATACATTTGCAACTTCATTACTATTCAAGCAACATATCATGTAGAGTTGAAAGCTGAAATCTGATTCTTTTTCACAATCTTTTTGAATATTCTGTGAGTTTGGTATAATTTAATATAGTTTGCTATATATGCTGAGAGCTTTTGTAGTTCTTCCTGGCTAATCTCTTTTTCTTCAAAACCTTAGGACAGCCTATGGAAATTTTTAGAAGCATGCTCATCCCTTAAATAGGATGGAACAATGTATTGAGTGCTTTTCAGGGTAGGAATGTCAAATAGTAGGTCAGATTGCTCAAGCAGCTTTATCAATAGCAAAACTTTACAAATTACTGTTTACAGACCAACACATTTATTCAGTCACAGAACAAAGTTTTAAAGCTTGTCAGTGATGCTGTACTTAATAAAAATCTACCTTTTATATGCAGATTTTCATTACCTGCTTTTTTCCCCTCAAAAGGTTTGCAGCAAATTTCCTTCTCTAACTTAAGACTGAAGTCTTTTCTTTCTTCTCTTGGCTAAGACTGCTATTGTTTTATTTGCCACCCTGTTTCTTCTCCCATTCTCAGCTGAGGGGAAAAAGGTAATGGAACCTCAAGCACTCTTTCATACTATTCCCAAGCTAAACATTTATTATCTAAACTTTTGCCTGATACTTCGCATCTGCACCACATTTAGCACTTCCCTGGCTTCATGCTCCTTTTCTTTATTGCAGCTTTCTGAAGACATACTAATAAAGTATTATCCATCATATTATAAGAAGATTTAAATGCTCAATATTTTTGCTGAATTTATGAACTTTTATTGAATATTTTCCTGTGACTGTGATTTAATAGATGGTAAAAAAATGAACTGGCTTCTTGAATTAAAAAGAATCATCCATACCTGTGGTATAGGAAATTCTTCTAAAGAATCCCTTAGAGTGATGGTATACAGTGGTAAAATACTGACATACCGATACATCTTAGAAGATAGATTTCCAAATGTGATAAAAATGAATTGAAAATATACCAAACATTCCTTATTTAAATAACTATATCTCAGAGAGTTACTGCAGCATTTTGACTTGTCTTGCAAAAGTGTTGTAACATTTTGAATCTTTAACTGTTCTTAAACTCATTATTCCTTCCTTGAATTGATTTTTTTCAGCATTAAGATTTATTTGGTCATCAAAAGTTATATGAGTTTGACTTGCTTATATTTAAAGCAGTTTTTTTTTTCCTGGTTGGTGAGCACTAAAGAGAGAACTAACCACCTTTGCCAGTAAATACTACAGACAATGGAAACATTATTTTGGAGGAAATGAGCATACTAGAAATATTAGCTAAAATGTTCAGTGCTTTAAAAATGTAATTTTTTTAATGTTGCCATGTATTATAATTTATTTCAGTATATGAACGTAGCTTTGAATTACCAGTTATGTAGACAGTTGTGTTTGTGTAATTTTTAAAAACTATTAAAATATGTTTGGTGGCTATTTAGCCTTCAATTAAAATCCCATCTAAATCATCTGTATGTTCTACTGTAGTTAATATTTAATACATAACAAATTCTTACCTGTAGGTACATCATATGCTTATACAGTGCCCGTGTTTTCCGTGGTCTATTTAAGTTACTACTTCATAGTTTAAGTTCTTGAGGAAAGGAATTGTCTTTCTCCTCTGCTAACAACAGAATAGCTAATTCAGTGGTTATATGATATCTGAAATTTACTGGGAGGAGTCACTGAACAAAAATATTTACTGAATAAAAGGGAGTCAAAATAGCAGCAGAGCTGTTTTAATTTTTTTAACTATTTCCTATGCCTTAAAATGTTTAATTTTTAAAGAAGTAACTGAATTTTAGACATTTTAGATAACCAGATAAGCCTTTGCACACAGTAATGGTATAGATGTATATAAGAATGTATCACTATATAAGCAGGAATACATTTTATATTTTATTAACTACCAGCTGCTAAGAATTCAAGAACCTTCAGTTTTGTTCTATTTGAGGTCATTGTTAGATCCAGCTCGTATATAAATCTCGTTTAAAATTATGATTTTTATTAGATTTGTTAATGCTGTTTTTGAAAAAGTAGAGCAAGGTTTAGGTAGTCTTTTTGAAATTGAAGATACAGGTGAATTGATATGTTTGGGATATTATTTGCCAGTGGTAAAGCTTATGAATAAAGTAAAGTACTTGACTCATCTTAGTATGTATTTTAAAACAGGTGAGACTAATGATAAGGATGTTCAGGTGGTGGAACTTCCCATTGTTGACAGCTTACACCCACGGCCACCCTATTTGCCCTTGGCTGTCCCTGAAGACTTGGCTGATAGACTAATTCGTGTACACGGGGATCCTGCAGTGTGGTGGGTCTCACAGTTTGTGAAATACTTGATTCGTCCACAGCCTTGGCTAGAAAAGGAAATAGAGGAAGCCACAAGGAAACTTGGTTTCAAACATCCAGTGATCGGGTGGGTATTTAGTTTTCTTTTTAACTGTCTGTCCTTTAATACGTGTATGTAATGATTCCTGTTCAGGAAAAAATTGTTTTATGATGATAATCAGAGTCTCTAAGTATTTTGTGGGGAGAGAAGGTGATTTCTAGATGAAGCTCTTATTTTTTAGCTGTGCATAAAACAAGTTGATTACAAGTACTTCTTCAGCACACTTGTCTACCTGCTGTTGGACAGATATGTAAAAGGCAGCTCAACAGAAGGTTTTTTAACATGTCCTTCCACATCTGGTAATACAGAATTTCCTTAATGTAATTGCCGTACAGCTTGTATTCCAGGCACTTTACTGTCTGTGTCTTCTTTCCAGTACCTGTAGCTTTTACATTGAGAGAAAAAAGGTTAAGCCTATAATTTACATGCCACAATTCACAACTAATTTTATCACTGGCTACATATGAACATGCTATATGCCATTCCCTTCCCTGCTGTTGTTTTTGCAGTTGTTGTTTCCCAGCTATAATGATGAATTGGAAAGGCCTGTGTGGGGAGATATGGGGAGAAGGAGGAAAAGCAGTAAAAAGCAGCTTGTGGGAGAAAGGTTTTTCCATCATGTAGTCTGAAAAATGCTGCTGCTGTGCTGGAGTCTTTTTCCTTTGCCAGAATTCCGTCAATCCTTAAACTTTCTTTATCTAGGAGTACACAGTAGGTTGTCCAAATGTTAGTTGGCTTTTGACCTTGAGCCAGTGGGCACCTCACTGCTGCTGTGTCTGGAGACTTGTTACATTTCAAGGAGGTCAAAAAAATGCATTTGTAACTACCTTAATTCAGACTATGCATTATACGAGGCAAATATTCCTATTTTCCTTTTCACCTGTATTGATCAGGCATTATCTATCTTCAGTAGATAACTTAACCTTGTGCTCGAAAGAAATGCCACCTTATATGCTATAATTCAATGTCTTTCATTCCTTTCTTTCAGTTACCCTTTGCCTTCCTTGTCAGATTATTATATTTCTTTTGAGAACAGACTGACTTCATATTGTCAGTGTGTCATGATGGACATGGATGAGTTTTAATCCCTCATTATTTTATGTATTCATTCAATCTAAAATTTCATTTGCTGAGGTATGTGTAGTGTTAATAAATGTAATTCCTAGATTTTCCCCTTTTCCAGTGTTCACGTCCGAAGGACAGACAAGGTGGGGACCGAGGCAGCGTTTCACCCCATTGAAGAGTACATGGTGCACGTGGAGGAGCGCTTTGAGCTTCTTGCTCGCAGGATGCACGTGGATAAAAAAAGAGTGTATTTGGCTACAGATGACCCTTCCTTGTTGCAAGAGGCAAAATCAAAGTAAGATGAATTATGTTTATATTACAGTTCCTTCCGTCCAGTTAGCTTTACAGTTTCTGACTATTGTGCACTACAAGTTTTGGTATAATATTTTCTAATCCTTTATTCAGTTAAGACTGCATTTAATTTTCCAGTGATTTTGATTTTTCTCTCAGATATGCTTTTTTGGGATTTTTTTCCTCCCAAGTATGCTTTTCAAAGCTTAATGTTAAAAATCTGGAAGTGTTGAGCAAGATACCTGTGACTATGTAAAAACAAATCAATGCTATAGAACAGAGGTAAATAAAAATAATATATACATAAACAATAGAAAATATAAGTAATAAACACACAGCACTTATTATTGAACATACATATTAAAAAGAAACTACTTAGAAATATTGTAAAGCCTGGTTAATATATTAAGAAGTATATAAAACCTGTCCAAAAAATGTGAGCATTTGCCAGAGGAATTTTTTTAAGTGGGTTGAAAAGCTTATGATGCAGCTCTTCCCTCTTCAGAAGGACTTCTGTAGTGATAACATAGAAGACTTGCATCTACATGTTGAATAATTTTGTCCTTAAATATAGGGATTCTCAACTTCTTACAGTGTCTTTGTCCCTTTTTTTTTTTTGTCCCTCTATCCTCTTCTATCTCTCTAGAACATGGATACACAGTAAACATTCATTTACTCCTAGATGGCCTGTATTTCCTTGTAAATTAATACTTCTAATTAATTGATTAATACTTTCTAAAATCAAAGCAACTCAGTAGTGGCAAATTTTTGAACTGTTCTGTTCCTGGTGACATTTTTGAAAAAATATGCAAGATAACATACCATATAATAGATTTTCTTTGGCATATGCAAGGCAAGCAGAAAATGTTATTTTGTAGTAGAATAATTTTCTACAGCATTGAAAACCTGTCTACTTCCACTGTGCTATTTCTGTTTTTCTTTCATATTTATTAAAGGCTGCTGTTTAAAATGATGATGTTTTGTGAAAACTAAATGAACATACTCAACTCCAGATGATGGCAACCTAATCCTTTTTTGTATGTGTAAAGGCAAGAATAATAATAGAAACAATTGTAGCATTTAAAGTGCAAATCGAAACAATGAAAAGACGGGTAATCCAAAATTGAGGTTATAATATTTAATTCATTATATTGTCCTAAATAACTTTAAGGACTGTTTGTAACATGACAGAATTCAATATTGATTTAACAATCTTAGTTATGCATTTTTATTTATTTTTGTTTAATTTTCAAGCCTTAGCATTCTTTGTGAATAGTAATGAGATGCTCTACCTGTGTAAACATATAATCTCAAGTTTTTAATAGCAGCAAAAACTAATTGTAACCTATTCAGTAAAACAATACTGAATTTTATTAAGAATTACAGCTCAAGTTCATTCCAAATCACTATTTTACTTTAATTTGGATGATACAGCTCATTAATATAGCATTAATTTTATGTTTTCTTTATAAAAGGCATACAATCTGTAAGTATTGAAGAATTTTTTATGTGTTACTGCTGGGTTTCCAGGTCACAGCTTACACTAAAACATCATTTCCTACGTTGCTTGCACCCTACTGTTGCTTGCAGCTTCAGATGCCTTGAGTAGAAGGCATTTGAAGCTTCCTGTGATTTCACAGAAGGCAGGGTGCAATTTGATGTTTGGGCATTTAATAGCATCTGAAGGCAGGTTAAGGTCATGTTTTGGCAGCAAAGAAGCTTTTCTTTCTCTTCTTGTGAAATCAACTATAAATTGGTTTACACTTCTGACAAAAATGTTCTAGTCACATTGAACTACCAAGCTTTGATAGAAACAGCTGTCACATTGCAGTAGCTTATGTTGCATTCATTATTTTGTGCAATAATATCAGTAAGTCCTAGGTACTGTATCTCTCTACAAGAGAGTGACTGGTTGTCAAACAGCGTTGGCATTTAAGTAAAGAAAATTTAGCCAACATTCACATGAATAGGCATGTTGTTTCTAGCAAGAGTAGTATTTAAACTAATCATAGTCATAAAACCAGAAATGTTTTGACTTAAGTTTCAGAAACTTCCCTTGCAGACAGATGTCTACCAACTGCAAGTACAGTAGTAAAGATAGTGCAGTCACTACCACCAGTTTGTAGAGTGTTTGTGTGTGTTTCCAAAAGAAGGAAAGAGGTGATATATTTTCAGAATTAGGATCATGTAGAACAATTTTAGTAGAGAGTAGCAGGGTTGAGAGTTCAACAACTGTAATGATCAGGGGATTAAAGCATTTGACAGCTTCTGGTAAGCAGAGGTCATGGTATTTATCTTGGATAAGTGATGTGTTAGGGAGGGTGTAAATTGCTTTTTCTTTGGCTGATTTAATAGTTTTCACATGCAAATTTTTGAATGTCTAGTACATGTATTTTTAGTCCATAATACTCTTACAGTATCTTCACTCCTTAGGGTATTCAAAATAATACAGATTATATATACATACATTCTTAAAGAGACCTTATTTAATGTATTTCTGGTTTGTATATGAACCTATTTAGGTATTGTTCTTTAGTTCATGAGCACAAAAATTCAACAAATCGCATTCTTCTCTCCTGAATGTTTTCCTGTAAAGTCATCTGTATTTTCTTTTTTCTCCTTTTTTTACTGTTTATTTACTTCCACAATAGCAGGTTAATATCTTTTCTCCCGTTCTACTATGTGCAGTTTTGCTAACCCTCCCCACCCCCCAAGTCATAGTATGCCTGACATACAGAATTCAGCAGTGCTTCAAAGTACTAGAACTTAATGAACAGCTCATATATTTTCCAACTTTTTTAGAGCAAGACCTGAGAAAACACATTATTTCTTACTCAATCTGCTTACACATATACTCACAATATTCTTTCAGAGGGAAGAAAATTTTCAGTGCCTGTTCTGGACACCTGCACAGGCCTACCAGTTGAGAACTGGAGCCTGGGACTCACCTTGATTTGCACCTGCAGTGATAAGCTGTAGTTACACAATGATCTGCTTCTGAAACCAATGGAAACTCGTAACAGTCCTATAACTGTGCTTGATTTGTACCCTCCTCTGAGGCTGTTAAGTGCAGGGAGGAAAGATTTTTAACTCTCTCTCTCTCTTCCCTGCCTTCTTTTTATTTCTCGTTTTCCTGTTCCCATAAGAGCAGAAAAAAGAAAAAGGATTTTTAAAAATTTTTAAGTCATTGTTACATGAGAAAATATTTTATTTTAATATGATATAAACTAAGGTTTCATATTTTTTAAAAAAAACTTTTTGAATTACAGTAGTACTGATGTTTTTTGTAATAAGTAAAGAAAAGTGTATTGCTGTGGAATTTTACATCTATTTCCTTATGACCAGTGAATTGCAAAATTTGTTCTGCACATGGCCTTAAGAACTGTGAAAGACTTTTTTATTCTTTTCATTTGTTTACATGCATTTATTTAATATGTCCCTTTCACAGGTGACTGGGTATTTTTGCAGTGTCCCAATCAGTATCTAATAGTATGGTAGTAAGTGTAGCCTAATAAGGTCAGAATCCCATATCCTGTTTAGCAGTAGAGAAAACTTAGTGGTCTGAGTATATTTCATCTAAAATCTGAATAATTTGCAGAATGTGGTATATACTTCCTACTGTGTCTTTCGCTTCAACTTTGTTATATATCTGACAGATGTACAGAATCTTTTTGTTTATTTTTTCTTGATAAAGAGAGGGCATGCTTGGAGGCAGCAGTGACCTTCTAGAGGGTTCAGCAAAATTGTAATTAATTTCCTGTAAAGCAGAGACTCACCTAAAATGAATTAACAACTCTATCTTGCAGCAAAAGTAATGCTTCTTAAAAAAATAAACAGAACAATTCTATTAACTGTGTGTTGTATTTTTCACAGGTATCCAAATTATGAATTTATCAGTGATAACTCCATATCCTGGTCAGCAGGACTCCATAACCGATACACTGAAAACTCCCTAAGAGGAGTCATTCTGGATATTCACTTCTTGTCTCAGGCAGACTTCCTGGTCTGTACATTTTCATCCCAGGTAATGTGCAATGCAGACACAGTGTTGATTATATGTACCAGTTCTAAATCTTAGTTTTCTTCATGCTTCTCTTTATAAAAAATTGTTTTAAGATGAAAAGAACAGCAAAAAGTTACCAAGTTGACGTGGCTAATGTGCTGATCCACCTAATTCACATATGGCGTGACATTATTTATATCTGATTAAATATTTTTTACTTGCTGTTGTTATTATGCTCTTAGGTGACAGAATCACACATGATTATACTGTTAGATGGAAATGGACACTAAACTCAAAAGTTAAAATTCACTTAAAAATTAAATGTTTTCCACAGCCTCAAATGTAAATTTTCTGCTGCACTGTAATGACAAATAGAAACAAGTGCATATTAATATTAATATATGGTCGATACAGTGATATATTGACCTTGACATATTAAGAAGACAACAAGAAGACAGCAAAACTACAAAAAGTATAGAAGAGCCTCTTATCCTTCCATCATGCTTATGCATACATTTTATTTACCATTCACCACATGCTGTAGGAGAGAATGACATTTTATAGCATATTTAGAAGGTTATTAATACAGGCTGTTTCAGACCAAGGACCTGAGTAAAATCCAAAGTAAAAATTCTCACTAAGAAGAGCTGTGAGGAGCCATCCTGTTTAATAATAATGTTTGATTTAGCTGAAGCACATCCACTGAATGCATATCATAGAGAAAGAAACAAAACCTACAGCGGTATGTCTTAAGTGCCACGCATGCATTGCTGTAGAGACAGTTCATAGTCTGAAGGAAGAATTATGTAGTCTTGGATAAAGACTTAAAGTTTAAATATAGCCACAAATGGTTTGGCCAGAATATATTGTAATTGAATTTTAAGTGTTAAAGAATGAATATGTGTTTAAAATTCATCAACACAGTTAAGGTGATACAGGTTGGTCAGGACCTCTGGAGGGCGCCTGACCAAACCCCGTTTGAGGTTATGGTGCCTTTGAGCACAACTCTCATTCTATTTCACCATGCATTTGACAGTAGGCTTTTTTATTGGATAACATATTTGATTTTCTAGAGTTGCAGAAAGTTCTACTGAAGAATAGGAGATCCAGTATTAGGGTGTTGCTGTCAATAGCTGTACTGTGAATTTGGTCCAGTAATTAATTTATTCTAGGCAATTTATTGTGCTATAATAACTCAAACTCCTTAAAAATAATTTAATACAATTTTTCTGGGCATGCAACATTGTGGATCTCTACAGAATCTTCATATATTGGGCTTTTCTAAGGTCTGTTGCAAGTTTTCCCACTATTCATAAAGTTTTCTTTTAAGGGGTTTTAAATTTGATTCTCTTATCTTTAACATTTGAATTGCTTTCCCTGTCCTTTCATCAATTAAATAAACAATTTGATATTTACTTTGGCATTGAAGGTAAGCAAAATAAGGCAGTTAATGACCATCTTTTGGCCAATAAGTGTGAAGAAAAAGTAAGGTTAAAAATGTATTCTTATTTATTTCTATTGTGATTTTGGACTTTCTCATTAATCAATTCTATGCTGACTTTGTTTTCTATTTTTCTAAAAAGACTCTGAACTTCTTAACAGAGGTATTAAGAGAAAATGATGCTGTATGTGAATAGAATCAGGAATTCCCCTGTATTAGTTAGAAATTAATTAACAAAAATTAATTATCTAAAAGAACATTGGTAGAAATTGAAGAATAGTTATTTCCTTAAAATACTGTTGTTAAAGAATTGGTCCTCTCATGTAATGGAGAGTCAAGGGAAGCAACCTACCTTGGCACTACACTTCAGCAATGTCACGTTAATTGAATAGATTAATTTAATTTTATAGGAAAACCACATGGGAGTTACACAAATCATAACACAGCAGGAGAGTTAAGATTACACATTAGAAGAAAGATTTTTTTTTTTTGGTCTCTTCGTTCTTCATTTAGTCTTCATGAAGTCATAGCTCCCTCTGACTGATATAACTTGTTTTCCTTCCAGAATTTATTAGTCTTTGTTTTTTTCATTGTACAGGTAAGTATACAGGCGGCAGAACATGGGATCTGGGAATAAAAAATGGGAGGCTGGTTTCAGCTATATTTCTGCATGTGGATGTTTTGCCTGCTGTCCTCACAGTTTACAGTTTAGTCACCCAGGTTTGGTGCTACAAAGAAAACAATTGCTGAGCTAAGGTGTTGAATGTTTTGTGTCAGATATGCACAACACACTTGCTTAAAGCATTTCTACTGAAAAGATTTTAAATCTTTATAGTGTGTATTATGTATGTCTCTTCCTGGGGTGCACACACATGCAGATAACAAAACAAATACAGTCACAGAAGCTATAAAATAAATAGCCTTTTGCAAATATATGGGTAATCAAACTTGTTTTTATATTATGATGTGTAACAGGTACTTTGAAATAATTAACTTCAGTCTGATCTTCTGAAAGGTACTTCTGAAAAGTTTTTTTTAAAGTTCAGATGCAGAGGGATAAAAGGAAATCTATTACATTTTTAAAGCAAATGCCTCTCTCAAAGGAGCTAAGAAAGTACAAATATGTCTCATATGAGCGATCAAAGTTCTATTCACTGTATCTTCAAAGGGACAAAATAAAAGTAAAATCAAGCTTTACTATATTAACATAGACTGAAAATTATGAAAAAGCTGAAATGCTGCTTTGTATTGGAGAAATCTGCTGTATTGTTAATCAGCCTTTATCAAACTTACGTGAAGTTAGAGAAGGATACGGTAATGCAGGTCAGAAACCAGAAAACCAACAGCAGCCAAGTCTGACACCTGACAGAGAAGAGCCTTCTAGCCAGCTGTTGAAAAAGCTTTTTTTAATATAGTGGTATGCTTGTATGTTTCTGGCAGCTCTGAGAAATACAATATAATTCTGATGTGGGAACATGTGTTCTGTCTGATGAAAATTCCCTTCATAAGATGGGTTACAATGACAAGTAAAAATGCATCTTCCCACCGATGTAATAATTGTCTTCATGGAATTAATTTCATTTATTTGTCTTCTAAGTTGCCAGCAATTCTATCACTGTTCTAATATAAACAGCATTTTAAAGCCTTGGACTTATGGAACTATTTGGTTGTGAAAATTTGAACTTCCTTTAGAAAAGTAAATGCAAGGCCTTATTATTGCAGGATAAATTTAAATGTAAATTCTAAAGGTTCAAAGGGAAGTAAAATGCAATTTTTAGTGGTTATAGTAGAAAAAGAAAACTTGCTTTTACATTTGATTGGCTACACATCATTAATTTTAAAAAGCAGAGTTACTAGTGTCCATATAGATGTTTTAATTTTAAACTGAATAGTAGATGATACTAATTATTTATCTATCTATTTATTTATTTGTTAGTTTGCTTACGAGATCTGATCACCAGAGGCCAATTAAGATTCTGCAAAATTTCATGCTTTTTAGTAGCAATTATGCAGGAATTCAGTAGAGTTTTTTTTGTTTGGTTTCTCTTGTTTTTTTATTTTTTGGGGGGCTATTTTTGTTGGTTGGTTGATTCGTTGTTTTTTTTTTTAAACCCAGATATTCCAGACCCTGATATTCTTGGGAAATATTACTATACATTAGTTGTTGATTTTTGTGGTATATTTCAGTCACACACAATATTAATGACTTCTGTTTTTATTTCTAAGGTTTGTCGAGTTGCCTATGAAATTATGCAGACGTTGCATCCAGATGCTTCGGCATATTTCCATTCTTTGGATGATATCTACTACTTTGGGGGACAGAATGCTCACAACCAGATTGCTATTTATGCTCATCATCCACGAACTGCTGATGAAATTCCTATGGAACCTGGAGATATAATTGGAGTAGCTGGAAACCACTGGGATGGTTATTCAAAAGGCATCAATAGGAAATTAGGAAGAACAGGCCTGTACCCATCCTATAAAGTTAAGGAGAAAATCGAGACAGTCAAGTATCCTACATACCCGGAGGCTGACAAGTAGATTAAAAGGAAGACATTCAGCAATTATTATAAAAAACTAAGTTTTGATTGGTTCAAACCAGTCAACAACGCACTAACTATTGGTTTCTATGGGATTTGAATTTGCATTTTATCATGCGGTTAAAATCAAAGCCTTTGCAATGAAACTGGACAAGAAGCTGAGAACAAGTGGATGGGCTATTGTCTGAACTTACTCTTAAACATTTTTGTTATATGCACTCTCACACATGCACACACAAACCACGTACAGCAGGAAAACTGTTGTTTTATACTTCTTGTCTCTTTTCAGGAGTTGTCCCGGTCATTAGTCTTATGTGAGCTTTGGGCTCTCTTCTCCGCCATTAATTGACAATAATGTTCAGACTTATAACACTGCCACATTGTGTAATTTGAGTGACATGAACATATTTTGTATGTGCAAAATTTGAAACATGGTGCCTATATTTGAAAAGTTTGTGACCTTTTTAGAAGAGCCATGCCTGTTTCACAATGGGCAAGAGTCCACTTTCATCTGGTGTTACTGTGACCACTGAACTTGCTTCAAACAAGAGATTCAGATTTCAGACTAGATTTCTTTACAAGTTTGGGATTTTTTTTAGCATTCCATTGATTACTTCTCATCATTAATAAAATAAAGGTTACATTCAACAATCAAGTAGTCACTGTCTCTTAGGAGCTTTTGTAAACAATGCCATGAACAGATTCTTTATTACTGGTAATTTCTGGACATTGCCTTTGATTGAAAAAAACAACAACACAAAATCCACAAAAGAAGGAAAAGATATTCGGAGTTTCACTGAATTTTAAAACACTTGTGTAGTACAGCAGTTGCGTAGGGCACAGCGCTGCTCAGCTTTGTGGACAGTCAGTAACAGCAGGATTATTTCAGTGGCTGAATTGCTTACATTTACCCTCTGACACTATTTTCTTACCTTTTCTGTTTCTCTTCTGAAAATAATTCAGGGTTTAGGGTATTATGGATGGCCACTTAGCATTTTGGCATTGAATATAATTACTTTTAAGTAAGATACTTCAGGTTATCCCATTTATAGAACCTGTCAGTCTGGACTACTTTAAAAAAATCTAACAGCTTACCCAAAAATAGTAGGTTGCAAGAAAATATACGAGGATGAAGTTTTATGCATGTTGTAAGATTATTGGTACTTCTTAGTGTTTTGAAGTCTCATGCCAGTCAGCTCTCATTAAGAAAAGAGATAATTTATAAAATAATTTTACAAATAAATTCATAGATTTGATGGTTGTATATATAGATGCATATAATATGTAAGATGACAAGAGATTGTTTCCAAATAAAAAGAATGTTTAAAGGCATTTTATAGCTTCTAGTGCAATCCAGTTTGGATTACTGTAGAGCAGAAAATGTTTACTGTTCAGACGCTGAGGAAATGCCATATGAGCAAAGGTTAAAACAGCATGGCTAGTTGACTTTAGCAAAGCAAAAATATGCTTAATTATGTTTATGAATAGACCAAGGACAGTGTTTACATAGTGAATGGGTGCACTTGACCATAAATAAATTTTAGGCTGAAAACTAAAAGGAAATTCTGGAAATGTTCTGTTCAGCAGCAGGCTTCCAATTGAAATAGTGCTGAGATGGAACTGGATTGGTATGTAAAGGAATTACAAAGTAGTACTTTCTGACATTACTTCCAGGACCAATCCTGTAGATCCCTTCCAGTAATATGTCCCTCAACTAAAAAATTATTTTGCATCTTGAAAAAGAGCAACAAAATCAAAGTTGAAAACTCTGGCGGAAAAAATATACATTTACCATATTGTTAAATAGACATATCAGCGAAAATGAACTAAGATACCAAATGAGATATAAAGACTGATTAAAAGATAATGGAAAGTTAGTAAGAGCAGCCAAAAGTGCTAAAGATGAATTTTTGCAACAAAAGATGCCTAGAGGCAACTGGCGTTTCTATATTTTGGAACTGGTAAGGAAACAGCTTTATGTAAGTTTCCTGTCTAAGTGATAGTGTTAAATTTTCCACTAATTCAGGCAAATGCATATTTCAGAGGTACAAATGTAGGATAAATGATTTTTTTTAAACTTTTTTTGAGTTGTACATATAAAGCTACTGCTACTTTCCTTTTCAACTTGAAAAAAAATAGAAACCCATTTCTAGAACATTTCTTCCTCAGCAATTAGGTCAAGGCTTTTTTTTTTTTTAATAGTTTAATTGTTTTTCCACAAATACTACATTAGCTAATTGGTATAGATTTATAGATTTTGAAAATGTTGTATTTTTTAAGCTATTTACTTACAGCTTCAGAGCCCATCATTTCTAGCTCATTTCTTAGAGTGTGATTCAGAAACAGTATTCATAAATAAATTATCACTAAAGTTTTCCTGTAGTTAGGTAACTCAGTTAAAAATGCAATGAAATAAGATAAATAACAGAATATCTAAGATGAGCCCAAAGGCAAAAGCAGGTGTGGTAATGAGAGAACTGAAAACACTGATGTTGTAGAAGCTGTACCTATATAATGTGGCAATTCCTCAGCAGACTGCATCTGACAAAACATTGGCAACGTACACATACCTCCTTACATATTCTAAGTACCTAATGAATTATTAGGTCATCATCTTTGAGAAAATGATCATGAAATTATACAAAGTTACAGCATCACTGTTAATAATTCAAAAATGTACTAATGTAGATGCTATGATCTTATTCCCCAGGGTCATATGATCCTCTAGTGCGCAAAGTGCAGTACTTCTCAGAGGAAGAAATCTAGCAATACCCTGCTTGCTGGATGCATGTTTCTAGAGATTTGTTTCCTTTAAGACTACCAATTAGTTATATTTTGGAATCCTGGGACATTGGTACATTAAAACTGATTTTGTTTTATATTAAACAAAATGAATATTTGAGACTTTATTCTCGCTGTACAGTGGGGTCCAGGTAATATAGAAGGATCGATGGGTATGTGGAAAAGAGACCCCTCAGATTTTATTGTAGCTCACAGAAAAGTGAAATAATAGGAAATAAAATTTTGTCTTGAATACCTGGAGAAAGCTGAATCTTTTGAAGGCTATGAACTCATTAAGTTACTAGCCAGAATGCTTGTGAGGAAGCAAGCATACATCATGTTTCTTCTGTTTACCTTCTAGCCCTGCACCAATCCAGTCTTGTAATTTTTGCTGCATACCAAACCACCTTCTCTGATACCCATAAAACAACAAGCCTTCATACCCCCTTAAACAACTGCTGTTTAATTAAATTTTTTCTCTTTAAGAAACTTTGGTGCGTGTGTGTGTATGCATGTTGCATACATAAGACCCAATATGAGCAGCGCTCTGGCGTTCCTCGCTATTTTACGTTATCACTGTCACATTCTCGGTAAAAACGTACTTGCCAGGTAAATGTAGTCATATTCTACATGCTGCTTAGAAGCTAAGAAATTTATTTTGCGTAATTCAGTTACCTGGTCTTCTGTGATACTGCTGTACCACCGACCTCAGTTCCTGATTTTCAGGCCAGGCCACAGTCAGATGCATGGGATTTACAGGCTTTCTCTGCCAACATCCTGCCCATGTGCACTGCTGAGTATTATGGGTTTGTTCAAAAAGGATGACGTTTTATTTCAAAGTTTTTACTTATTTTTAAATGTTTGCCTTGTTTACGTTCAGATAAGTCTTTTGTCTAACCCTTCTATCACTGAATTTTAAGAAAACTTTAGGGAAATCAGATTTTTCTCCTTTACCAATTTTCTGAAAGGGGATCTGGTGATGCCTTTTTTTAACAGAGAGATATTCACAATGCAGATGTTTCCTTCATAATAGGTGTTATGTTTCTTTGGTTTGCAATTATAAATAAGGGTCTTCTGAGCTAGGAACATAATAGAAAATAAATGGATAATTTTCATGACAAATTCTTGATAGAGGGAGGGAGATTTTTCTTCCTGCCAGTGGAATAGCACCTACCATTTGGAACATTTTCATAACAGTGAATTGAACTTGGTTTTTCCAGGTCATTAGCTTCTTCAGAATGTAATCTCTGATGTGACTGAGGAACCCAGATAAAAATAATTTGCTTAGTTTGGGAAATGGGAAGGAGAGAGAGTCTAAACATGATATTGTGCTTTTAATATGAGTTGCTACATCATCTTATAAAGCCACAAATAGACATTTCTGTACTGGGTTAAGCACCTCTGGTAGTGAAATCATACACAGAATTTGCAACCCTTCTGATTTTGCCTGATACCAGTCTGAGTTTTGTATAAACATCATGGTCATACTCTGATTATTGGTTGTTAATATCCTTACAGTTTCATTCCTCTTTTGGTGGCATGGGAACAGGTTGTCAAGGGGCTCAAAAGGTTGTTTGGTTTTCTTATTGTATGGAATTAAAAGTACACTTAAAGCTCACTTAAATTCTGCTTCTCTAAGGCACCCCTAGAATTGTAATTGTAGTCTCCAGACTTTTGTCAAGGTTCTCCCTATCTACCTGCAAGCTTACCTGGAGCAAGACTGGAACAAAGAAAGTAATTTATAAATATGAAATGCATACAGGTTGTGTTTGACTTCATAATATCCTGTTCATTTCTTAAAAGCATGAAATGTGGCATTGCATGATACAAATAAGAGGCTAGTATAAGATTCCCAAGTCTGTGAAAGAGTTGCTTGTCTGCTTGCTTGCATTACTGGTTGCATTCACTGTGTACAAGATTATTTAGGAATCCAGGTACGTGGGGCAGAGGTCTTTCAGCATTACTACTGAATGTTTAGGTCTTTCAGCATTACTACTGAATCCCTTCCACTGATGTTTGCTGGTCTTTAGCCCTTTCGGTACTGTGCACAGACAATGCTGGTGATATTTGTTATTCACTGGAATCCCTTTATTTTTTTATGCTTGTTTCCTTTGACTCAGCTTGTCAACAGAATCCTATTGCCACTGCAGTTCAAACAAGTTTGGATTGATGCAAAGGCGTGTCAGTTGTTTGCACAAAAATGTCTTTGCCATTGCTCAGAATTAACGTCACACTCAGGCTGGCTCCTTGCAAGGTGCTGTTGAGGGAAGGACCATCTCCACTATACATGTTTTGTAGCTGCTGCCAGTACAGGTTCATGGTTTTACTTTCAGTTTTGCATGATTTTTCCACTTTATCCAGACTCAAGGTTTTGTTTAGTATATTTATGAAGCGTTTTCTGGAGGTGATGAAGTCCCAAATATGCTACATTTTCTTCAAGAAATATAACAGACCTCATCCTATTACCTCTTAACTGTCTTAAAGACATGCTATAGTTGTACCATTTTAGTAGAAGCAGCTAGATTGATGTTTCCTGAAGAGACTGACTTTTTTGTTCTTCTATTAGCCCTACCACTTACCTGTATCTGATCTCGATCGACCATGGTTGTATGAACCTTCTTCACACCTTTCTGCTTCACATATTTTGATTTCTCTACCAGGTGGTGATTACTTGACCAGGATTCCAAGGGACAAGTCTGTATTTGGTGTTTTGTAATAATGTGTGAAATTGTATTTCTGGCATATTTGCATTTTTGTTTTTATTTTTTAGAAATGTGTTTTTGTGTTGTCCCTCATTAGTATAGTCAAGGATTCAAAGATGAAACACTATAATCTGCTGTGCCTGGTAAGTGTTTAGGAGGCTTACAAGGCATAGAA